AGAGAGAGAGAGAGAGAGAGAGAGAGAGAGAGAGAGAGAGAGAGAGATTAAAGAAGCAGGCATTATGTTTATTCTTAGTTCATTCTCTACAAGCAGTTCTACATGTTAAAGTCTGGGTGGAAAAATAGCTTTCTACAGAGTTGCTGCTTTGTATGTGCTTGTTTGGCAAAGTAATGTTGATTGCAAAATGTATACTAGCATTCATTTTGCTCATTTCATTGTAACAAGAGATCTTTGTTTTGCAGGCATTCAGCTTGTGGCTTTTCTGTATTAGTGATGCATATAATGCCGTTGTAACAGATGTTTGTGTAGAAACATCAACACTTTCCAGTTTTGATTGCTCAATTGATCGGCAGGTTTTCTAGCCTGGGGGAACAGTGAGCCACACAAATGGATTGTGCTTACTTGCATTGAAGTGCTCAAGACTCTCTTGTGTTTTGCAGTGTCAGGAGCATAAGCTGAGACATAAATGGAATTTTTTGGCCTGTGTTTTGAGTAGCATAAACCTGCCAAATTTTGAGTTTTGAGATTAGATATACTTGGGGTTACTTCACAGATTCATGTATGCCACTTGACTATTCTATCCCCAATTAGTGAACACGTAACAGTGACTTGCAGCAGAACATGTGAACTAATAAAGCATTATGTTTTATGGTGACATTAGGGAGTTACCAGATGAGGCTTTTATATCACACCCTCTTTTTCCTGATTCATAGAACTTTATAAAAGAGTCTGATGTCATCTACTTTCATAAGTCTCCTTCGTTTTCGCAACTGCTTCTGCCATCTTTTTTCTTATCATGTATGGAAAATCCAATAAGGAGGAAAAGATGGAAGAGGTGCACAGCACCTTGCAGTTGGCGGTGCAGGGTACCCTTCATCTGGAAGCACCCCCAGTGCTATGGAAGTTCTGTGATGGCTCATTTACACATGGTGCAAATCATGATGCAATAATTATGGTGCAACAACTCATTTTAGGCTCCTTTTCTATGCTTCTACCCCATGACATTCACAGAAATGCTTACCACCTATTTAAAGTAAAGCCATATGCACATGCATGCACACCCATAGCAGCAAAATAGAAGCCAAGCACAGAAACATACCCAAAATATCACAGATCAAACTAAGGGCAGTCTTGTATGCTCGTACTGCCTCTTTCTCACGCCAGTACAGTTCCACCCTCCTGTTACACACTGTTGAAGAATTTTCTCCATCCAATTTGTACTTCCAAACAATTACATTTTGATGTATGCTTTCTGTTAACGGACAAACTAGAATTTGCCCTAATTTACCTCTTCAATAGTCTGTTCTACATTCCTTTCTGAGGCAAAACTATGTATAAGAGTTTCCTTGAAAAACAATCAGATCTCCCAATGATCTGATTGTATGTACTATAGAACAGGAAGTGTGGCTCCCCAAAAGGTGCAGGACTGTATTCCAAGCCAATGGTGTTTATAGGTATTGCAGTCCAACATCTGGAGGGTCACATGTTCCTATCTCATGTGTAGAAAAAACAGCAGCAACTCAAAGATCTCAACACTTACTTCCCAGTATTTAGAGGTAAATCCCACTGTATTATACTAATTTACTGCACTTTAAAACTGCTCAGTTCTGGAAGCTATAGAGGGCAACTTCCTAGTAAAAGTACCATCATACTTTAGCGTTAGGACCTTGGAGCATGGCTGTGTAAAGGAATCAGGGAGAAAGCATATACTGCCATTCTGTGTGAAGACAAGCAATATGGACAATTTAGTTTAATTGGGGTGAAAATAATTTTAAAGGAAATTCCATTATTTAAAAACAAAACAGTTGTTGTTCTAGAACAATATAATTAACCTAAAACCTGTTGCTGTAGCTCAGAGTTCAGACATATTTCATCAGTAGTAGCTTGAGAAATGGCAAACTGCACTGTAAGTCACAACCTGGTGCATAATTCAAAGTATGTTTACTTGGAAGTAAGTTCCATTGTGTTCACTGGGGCTTACCTCCAGGTAAATTTTGTATTGGTTTGTCTTGTTAATGTTTGTTTGTACCCTAACCCTAAAAGCAAAACCAATGAAAAGTTGTGCTCTGTTTTCGAAAAACAGAGACCGCCCCTTCTCATTACGAATTAGTATCTACACTCAAGATGCCACTCGAGCTATAGCTATGCAGCAGTATAGGTTCTTTTTTCTGCCTTTCCCCGATGAAGGAAGAGAGGATCATGGTGCCCTTAGTAAAATAAGAATATAAAATTAAATAATAAAAACTGGTGCCGGCCGTCTACTTTCTGCCTAGGAACCTAAGTTCCAGGGTCCTCAGTTCTCAATACTTTGTTTCCACTGCAACGGGGGACCTTTGGTTGTTGCACAACGCAACGTATTGAACTTGAACGTACTTCCGGAGTTCGACTTCCGGGTTTCGAGTGTGTTGGAAAAGCTGAAGTCGTCGGAGAATAACATCGGTTGTTTTGCTGTGTGTATTTGTGTGTTCGCGCGTGTACGTATGTGTGTGTATGTGGGAGGGGAGGCCAGGAGTTAGTGGCAGGACCGTCACGTTTTGAAGTGGCTCATGTAGCTGTGCTTTTCACGACCATGTGTTCTGTAGTCATGATTACGATGTCCTGCATATTCAGTGGCTGGGAAAGGCGCAAGAGTGGGGAGTTGTTGTTGTTGTTGTTGGCTAGTTGATGTTGGCAGGGTACTGGAGGAAGAAGACTCCCCTGGAACGCAAACACTGGCTCAGTAAAAAGGGGCAGAAAGCACTGAAGAAGGTGATACAGTGGGCGTGTGGGGTCAAGTAACGTTCTTGGACTGTCATTGTGGATGAGGAGAGAAAACACTCCCAGCATTCCTGACCATTGGCCATGCCAGGCTGATAAGAGTCAGAGTTCAAAAATGTTTGAGTACCAGGTTGGAGAAAGACAAGGGATAAACAGTCTTGAAAAAAGATGGCAGGAATACCAAGGCTGTGAGAGTGACGAATGGAAGCAAGCAACTCAAGGTACAATGCTATGCATGTTTAGACAGGAAAAAGACCTAAGCTGTCAGTGCATTTGGGGCCTGATGGCAATTCCTTGAGCCTTGATGGAAGGAGCTGAGAGCTAGAAGATGAATTACAATAATCTTGTAATTGTTAACTTGTGTCTACAGATATTAAAATGGACAACGTTTATTTAATAAAAACTAGCAATGTGAATATTGTGAAAAGCCAGAATAGTGCAAAGTGGACACCTGATGATTAAATGCACCTATAGGAAACAAGGCAATATGTTATTAAGGACTGAAATGTTGGGGAAGGCTATAATGTGTTTTCATGTGGTATATCTGTTTTTCTTTGAGAGATGTGGAGCTACATTGTGGTTGAGACTCAGTGATTAGAAGATAATATTATTGCTATCCCTCTAAAATGCTTTAGTGTTCTTTTTATTTATAATCTATGCATTTAACTTTTAGCTGAGCAACTGACCATTTGTTATGTGGGGATTTTAGCAGACATGAGGTTCTTTGGGGAAGTGGGAAAAGTGGCCTTAATGAATGAGTCCTGAACTAATTTCATGATACGATTATCCTAGTAGCATTACATTATGGTTGTCCTGCAAGAATTATTCTGCTGTCTTTTCTACATTGGTTTGGTAATAGTGAGTAGCACTCTTGCAGATAAGTTGTATTTCAGGAAATTTCACAGTAAGATATCAGCTATTTCTGTATGGTTGTTCCATGGTTGTTCAAAAGTATTGGAATGGAGCATAGCGATCAACCTCCTGCTAGGGGTAGCCTCTGTATCATGTGGTACAATTCCAGCATCCCTGGCAAGCATCTGGCTAAATATTTTCTGCAAATTGGAACCCAGCACCTCCCAGGACAGGCTTTTCCACTGTTTGGAAGTTTCTCCTATTGTTTAACTAAAATCTGATTCTTTGAGACTGTTCCATCTTCTGCCCAATGGCCTTTCAATCTTGCAGCAATGTCACTTGCACAGCAGTGTTTTTACTTGATCTTCTCTTCTCTAAACTAGTATTATTTTTATTATTACATTGTATTTATATCCTGCCTTTCTTCCTCTTACAAGGAATCCAAGGCAGCTTATAAGGTTCTTCTCTGCATTTTAGCCTTAGAATAACAACCCAGTGAGATAAGTTAGGCTGAGAGTCTGTGACTGGCCTAGAGTCACTCAGTGAACTCCATGGCAAAGTAGAACCTAGAATCCAGGTCTCCCAAGCTCCAGTCCAGCACTCCTGACTACCACACTGGCTGAACTTATCCATCTCTTTCAGCTATTCCTCATAAAAAGGTGCCCAAACTCCTCACCATCCTGGTTGCTCTCTTCTAGACATGCTTAAACTTGTCAATGTTCTACTTAAACTGAGGCACCCAGAATGGACTCAGTACTTCAAGTGTGACCTGACAAATGCAGAATAGAATGGAAATACTACTTCCCAGGTGCTTGATGCTGTGCTTCTGTTAATGTAGCCCTGGGCTGAGAATGATGTGGAGGGTGCTAGTAAAATATAAGTTTTTAAAAGGCTAAATGGGATTTTGCAGAGAAACATCTTTGTTTTAATTATTGTTTGTGTGTGGGAAGGGGATGTTCATTCTTTCTTTTAATGATGGAATAGCAAAGCAGGTTAGGAGTTTCTTATAACACAGTCCTATGCATGTCTAGTCAGAAATAACTCCCTTTCAGAGTTATTTTCTGGTAGATGAGTAAAGATTGCAGCCTGAAGGAACTAGTCACAATTTAGTGCCCTTAGGTAAGATTAGGAATCTCATCCTTTCTTTAATGAACAGTCTGTATAGAACATTAGAGAAGAGAATGACTTATTTGGAGGGGCATGGGTTATTGACTACAGCTTAGAGTGGTATAATTATACACTTGGAAATGTGTGCATGGTAAAGCATACTTGATAAGAATCCTTTTAAGATTGTATATGATGGTTAGGGAAGAAAAGCTGTCATAAAAACTGATATGGTTAGTGTTAAGTGACCAGATCCCCCACATCTGACTCATTCAGGTACGGGGATGGAGATGGGAGCTTGATCCTAGTAAAATGATTCCTTAAGTATCCACAAGGTGGCATTCATGGCCTTCACTATGCCAGTAAGCAACAGAAGAAGCCTCTTCTGTTGTTGACTTGTGGTGTTTCTGAGCTTTACAGGACCATCATGAATGTGATCCCCTTGTGAAGAGGGGCAAATTTAAGTGGCCTGAAGGCTTGTTATGATTCAAAAATAAGGAGAACTGTGGGAGTGGCCGCTCCTGAAAATTTGGCACATCAGGCAACTTGGTTTAAACTGAACTGGGAAACTGGTGTCTTAATATGGCCATAAGAGAGCCCCTGAATATCCATGACGATCACATAAAAAGATGAGGGTATTCCTGTTTGTTTAACCATGTAAAAGATAGGATTTTAGCCTTTGAAAACCCCACTTTTATATAGCTGTTAAAGGGACAGGAGTTTGTAACAGGATAGTGTACAAAAGGTACTTGTCTCTGCCTGTTATAGGCTTGGGAAATGGATAGTGGGGCAAAGAGATGTGAAGGTATTAAAAGTAAGATTCTTGTGCTGAATATAGTTGACATACTCAGTCCTATAACATATACACACTTGAGAGCCCACTATCGGGCCTATGCTGTGGCGGTGAAGGCGGCGAAAAAGAAGTTTTTTCTGCTTCCATTGCCTCCTCACAATGCCGTCCAGCGGAGCTTTTTCGAGTGGTGCAAGGCCTGGTTCGCCTGGGTCCTAAGGAAGATCCGATGCCACCCTCAAAGGCCCGCTGTGACGACTTTGCCAGGCATTTCAGGGAGAAAATCGCTCAGATTCGTCACGAGCTGGACTCCACTAATGAATCAGAGGTCTCTGAGGAGTCGCCAATGCCACCGTCTGGTCCAAAATTACTGGAGGAATTTCAATTATTGCGGCCCAATGATGTGGACAAGGTGCTTGGAAGAGTACGTCCCACCACGTGCCTATTGGATCCTTGCCCGTCTTGGTTAATAAATAACTCCAAGCACGGGATTGGGACCTGGATTTTGGACGTGGTTAACGCTTCTCTGAGGGAGGGTCGAGTGCCTGCCCCTTTAAAGGAGGCGGTAATACGACCGGTCCTGAAGAAAGCGTCACTGGATCCAGAGATGGCCACTAACTATAGACCTGTGGCCAACATCCCGTTTCTGGGCAAGGTGCTGGAGCGAGTGGTGGCGGGACAACTCCAAGCACTCTTGGAGGAAACTGATTATCTGGATCCTTTTCAGTCCGGCTTCAGACCCGGGTACAGTACTGAATCTGCCTTGGTCGCCCTGTACGACGACCTGTGCAGGGAGAAGGACAGGGGGAGTACATCCCTGTTGGTTCTTCTGGACCTCTCGGCGGCTTTCGATACCATCGACCATGGTATCCTTCTGGATAGACTTGCGGGATTGGGGGTTGGAGGCACTGCTTTGCAGTGGTTCCGCTCCTATCTCGACGGTCGATTCCAGAAGGTAGTGCTGGGGGACCATGTCTCTACGTCATGGCAGCTATGCCATGGGGTACCACAGGGCTCCATTCTATCCCCTCTGCTATTTAACATCTATATGAAACCGCTGGGAGAGGTCATCAGGAGGTGTGGGCTGCGGAATCATCAATACGCTGATGATACCCAGCTTTACCTCTTGTTTTCCACTAATCCAGGTGAGGCAGTGGCTGTGCTGAACCGGTGCTTGGCCGAGGTAAGGGAATGGATGAGGGCCAATAAACTGAAACTCAACCCAGACAAGACGGAGGTCCTGTTGGTTGGCGGATCGGGTTTCGGAGAGGGTGGATTTGACCTGGTCCTGAATGGTGCAACACTCCCTCTTAGGGATAAGGTCCGCAGCTTAGGTGTACTCCTCGACCCGGAGCTTTCTTTGGAAGCTCAGGTGACAGCGGTAGCGAGGAATGCCTTCCTTCAGCTTCGGCTGATTAATCAGCTGCGCCCCTACCTGGAATACGACTGCCTGGCGACGGTGACACACGCGCTGGTGACTTCCCGCCTAGACTTCTGTAACGCGCTTTACGTGGGGCTTCCCCTGAAGACAGTCCGAACACTTCAATTGGTGCAAAATAGAGCTGCCAGGTTGCTGACGGGGACGGGGCGTTATGCTCACATGACTCCAGTCCTCCATCAGCTTCACTGGCTTCCCATTGAAGCCCGGGCCCAATTCAAGGTGTTGATTATGACCTACAAAGCCCTAAACGGCTTGGGTCCTGGCTACCTGCACGAGCGCTTACGTCCGTATATGCCCGACCGCCCTTTGAGATCTGCGGGAGAGTCCCTTCTCCGAGAACCCTCCATGAAAGAAATTAGGAGAGTAAGTACCCGGAGGAGGGCTTTCTCTGCGGTGGCGCCCAACCTATGGAATTCACTCCCCAAAGAGGTCCGCCTGGCACCGTCGTTACTGGTTTTTCGGCGCCAGGTAAAGACCTTTTTATTTAAACATCATTTCAATTGTTAAAACATATGATCTGGCCTGGGCAACTTCTTCTTCCTTCTCTTTCTCCTCCTATATTTTTATTTTATACTGATAATTTTAATTTTGTATTTGTAAATCAATGTATTTTTTGTATTGTTATATTTAATGGTAATTTATTATGTACTATTGTATTTCAATGTATTTTATCATGTTGTAAGCCGCCCCGAGGTTTCGGCAAGGGGCGGCATAGAAATGTTATAATAATAATAATAATAATAATAATAATAATAATAATAATAATAATACAGGGGAATATCTAAGAATCCTGCAGTTGGGAGGGTGGATGGTCTGTCCAATCACTTCCATTGCCTTCCACTTAATTCTGCTTTTCCAGTGATGGGGCTCACCTGACCCACATCTCAGTTTAAGATTCTCCAGACTCTTTGTTGTGCCCACAGTTGTATTTAGTCAGGCCTGTAAAGCATGCTTAATGAAAACTTTTTTTCTTACTTGTAGGAAGAAAAGAGTTTCTCACTTCTTCCTGCATTGTCCACCTAAACCTTCATGACACGTCATGGCAAGAACTGCACGGCGGGAGCTGTCTACACCTACCATGAAAAGAAAAAAGACACCGGTGAGGAGGCCACGTTCTGCAGTGGGCTGTGGGTAGCAGTCTGCAGGGAGCAATAGCAGCAAGATAGCAGTAGGAGAACAGCAGGTGAAAACCCAAAGAGTGGTGGTGATCCTACAGAAAAGGGAGCCCAGATGCGAACTGGGGACGACAGCTTTGTAATTGGGACAGGTACAAGCAGGACCACTGAAAAGAGTAATCTGGACTGTGTTTGAATAGTGTTTATTGGATGCAGGGAAATAAAGTGGTCCTTCATGAAATCTGCAAGCCTTACCTTGGGTGGGCATCTTACGGCCTGCAACTCCTGTGGGCCTTCTTCATTTGCTATGCTGGCTAGGGCAAGTTGCCCACTTCTGCTCTATCTGCACACACTTTCCAACTAAGTCAGAAGACCAGACTCCTGTGGCTGCCCTGAAATTTAATCACTGATCCAGGGCTAGTATAGCAAAGTGATGACGGTCAAATTTGGGAGGGTAATATTTAAGTATGGTTGCTTATGGCCAGGGGAATAGTGGGAAACACTCTAGGGTAGTTAGCAGTATTGAGTACACCACCCAACATTTCATGGAAACTAACCTAAAATATTCCTTTTTCATTAATCTTCATTCATTTGTTACATTTCTCTGTCATCTATTACCTGAAGCTCTCTGAACAGCTTGCAAAGACAAAAACCTTAAAAATACATGACAGCGACTAGAAACTGATAGTCAGCCTGCAAGCTAATCCCAAGAGTAAGCTAACCTGACTGAGCAAGTCTCTTGACAGGTCGGGCTTTCCTAGGCAGGTTTGCTACTCATTTCCCTTTCTGGGTTCTATTAGAAGTCCAAGATTGCAGCTTTAATAGACCCTAAACTTATCTGCCCTTGCTGTAATTTTTTTTCCCCAGCTGCCTCTGGATATGGGACCCAGAATGTCCGTCTGAGCAAAGATGCCATCAAGGACTTTGACTGCTGCTGCCTCTCCTTGCAACCCTGCAAGGACCCTGTTGTGACGTAACTATCTGGCAGGGCCTACTGAAGATTGTTCAGTGAATTAAACTGAACATTTGGTGACCTACTAAAGGATGTGTCCTTTTATACTTTATATGGATCCCTAAATTTGGATCCATAGTGCAACAAAATAAGAAAAGAATTGCCTTCACAAATTAAATGAAACTATGGCTAGATTCAGAGAACATAGTAACTTACAATGGTTGAGTATCAGTTGAGTGTGAGTTATTGAAATGTGGATTATCATATTGTCTGAGTGCAGCTGCAATAATTAAGCCTGGTTTTGTTAATCACAAACATCGCACAGTTCATAGTCCAACAACAACCCATAAGTTTTCTTTATGAGTTGTTCGTGCTCAACAAACCATAGTTGATTAGCACAGCTGTAAACCTACATTGCTACAATGAACCATGGTTAAATAACAACCCATGACAACTCAGACCTTGAGTGTTCTCTGAACCCTATTTGTTGACTTCTACATATGTCTGTTGAGCTCATTGTTATTTATCTCTTTTTTCCCCCTGTACTCTTTCCTTTTCCTGGGAAGTGGGGTGATTATATTCCTTTATCACTGATGGTGGACTGGGGCTAAAAGGTATTTGTCCATGGCTGAACAAATGCAAAACCCAGTCCATTGTCTATAATATTCTCTCTCCTTGTAGAAAGAAATTTTGGTTTAAAGATCATTTCACAGTGTTACCAGTTTTTTACTTGAGTTGTTTTTTGAGAACTCTGCTGTGTGTTCCATTATGTTCTTGTGAGCATTTATAAACCAACTATTTCTAATCATTATTAGTGGAAGGGATGAATGGTATATAAAGTCAAACAAGTATGGACCTGTTCCAGGGAGGTGAGCATCAAGCAGGAATTTTGGGAAAGAAGACATGGCAACATTAAGAACCCTGATTCTTGGCTCTGGCAGCAATATTCAGAATTCTGGCAAAAGTCTGTGGTTAAGGACACACATGGATATGATGCGTGCAAGCTACATACATGCTTCCTTCGAACTGCCACAGAGAAACGCTTCTTCATTCATCTTACATACATGGACTTGTGTTCCCAGCCTCTGTGCGTTACAGCCTCGCAGGTGTATTCTTGAGCACATGTAGATCCCCCTGCAGTACTTTGCAGTTCTCAATGCCATCAGAGGCCTGGGTGTGTTGCAAGAGGGATTCTCATCTTGCCTTTCTCTCTCTCTCCAGCCCTGATGGATTCCTGTATGAGAAGGAAGCTATCCTAGAGTATATTCTGCACCAGAAAAAGGAGATAGCCCGGCAGATGAAGGTATTGGAAGGGATGGATGTTGTGTCAATGTGTAGATTAAGCAGGACTCTTGTATTCCCACCTGTCTGCTGGTTTTATAGATGGCAGGGAAGGTACTGCTCCAGTTTTTTGGGAAATGGTAGAAAATGGCACTTGGAAGAATTGAAAGTTGATAAAAGGAAAAAGAAACTAACCTATGAAACATGGTCCTAATTGAAATGGGTTCCTCTTAACTTGTTCAATTTCTCTTCTGCCTTACCTCCAAGGAATTCAGATGGCTGCTTTATCCTTGTAAAAACTTGCATAAAATAGATTAGCCTTCTGTTGACTGGGCCTGGTGCTCAGCAGTACACTTCCTGGAGCAGTTTTTTCTCCTGGGGTTGTGCTAGGCTGAGTGTGAAGCAACAAAAAGGGAAGAGCAAGGACACTTCCGTTGCTGTTTCTCCAGTACTTCCAATAGCTGCTGCCTTCAAGAACCAGGTGCCACTGATACCATCTGGCCAATGAAGTCTGCAAGATTCAAGGAACAGTGTGTCCAAAGAAGTGGGCAGAAGGAAGTATAATGAATTACCCATTCAGGGTTGTCCCATTTTACTCTGTTAACTGGTTTAATAATTTCCTGTTAAGAGTTGCCTTATAAATATTGGGACTAATACACCGTGACTTGCTTAAGACTTTTAGTTAAGCTTCATAGTTGGACCTGGATTTGGGTTCTTATTTCATTCCCCCCATTGAACAGGAGAACCCACCTGTGGAAAAGAGGTTCTCACGGTTCAGTGGTTCATAGAATCATAGAAGAGTAGAGTTGGAAGGGGCCATGAAGGCCATCGGGTCCAAACCCCTGCTGTTGACTGACTTCAGAAGATAATACACACTCCAACTTGGAATGTCTGTTTGTTAGTGGAGGCAGAGGACTGTTCTGGGCCCAAGTGTGGGATGGTTAGATAATTTCCTACCCAGTCTTGAGCTTGTCTGAAGTTCTGCTTTGGATGCAAGATACTGGAAATTTGGGGAACACAAATACCTCTCACACACTACAGTCTTTATTTGAGGCCTCCTGCTGTGGACTGTCCCTGGGATGAATCTTGGCCCCTGTTCACAGAAGAGCTGCTGTGTTAGGATAGCTTAGGCACGGAAGAAACCTAGCACCTTTGCCAGAATTGGTATCTCTTCTCTGCTCGAAGTCAAACTCTCGCTCTTGTTCAGTTATTGTTGTGCTGTGCCTAACTGGTGGGATATGTCCTACTGGCAGAACCATGTTGCTTCCCGGCAGTGAGGGTTTCTGTGAGGCTTGCTTCCTCCAGGAGTGCTGCTTGTAGCCTGGAGATCCTTTCTTCTCTTACTGCCTTACAACCCCTCCATATACTTCCCATCAAGCTCCCTGCTTTTTGCCCAAGATCGTCCTGGTCTTGTTTTCTAGGCTTCTTGCTAACCAACCTTCTCTGACAGCCTTTATCAAGCTCCGTTCTCTTCCCTTTACCACTGTCATGTGTGTCTCATGCAGATCATACAAGAAGTGTACCACTTCTGTATTCTAACCACAGCATATGTAGGTGTGGAAATGTAGAGACAAGAATGGGGGTGATCTCTTTGTGGATGACAAATGTTTGCATCTGCAGGCATATGAAAAGCAGAAGAATGAGAAGAAGACAGAGATGGCCGAGCTGAGCAAGGCTGCCAAGGAGTCCAAGGTGAAGAGCTTCCTAGACAAAGAGCTGAGCATTGTAAGCAAGCCCCTCAACCCCTTTGATCGCAAGGCAGGTAAGTGCAGAGAACCAATGGATTTGGGACAGGGTTGAGCAGTGGAAGTGTTCATTCCTCCCCCTTGCCTGCCTGAGGCAGGGCCCCATGGATCTTGCAAATGCTGTTCCTCCTGGTACAAACAGGTGCTGTACTTTGTGTTCTCACCTTGCTTGCTGGGAGTTCTCAGAGCTCTTACTTAGTTTTGCCTGGTTTTTAGTAGTGCTCTTGCATTCTTGGATACCATGGAGGGAATCTCCTATCCACAGCTTTGCTTGCATCTTTTCATTCTGGATTCACGCTTCTGGCCCTCTCTTGCAAAGCTGCCTACTCCAAATTCCTTCCCTTACCATCAGTCTCAAGAATATCTCCTCTCCTCCCCCACCTCTTCTCAATAGCTCTCCTTCCACCTGCCCCTCTCAGTTTATGGAGGGGAAATGCAGTCAGTTGCTACAAGATATGAGCCCCTCTCTCAAACATAGGACAAAGATAGCTGCATGGTCCTATGTGCTGCTGAGATTTGTAGTGTTATTTAATACTAAGGTAGGCTAATAGGGGTCAGATTCTGGGATGCACAAGTACTTTCTGGATCCTGCCTAAGATTCCAAGGCAAGCCTACTGGTGAACTTACATGTCTGTAATGCAGCACGACTATCTTTCTGTAACATACGTGACCTCAAATCACCACCTCATGCAGTGGTACCTTGGCTCACGAACTTAATCAGTTCCAGGACTCTGGTCATGACCCAAACTGGTTGTGAGCCAAGTTAAATTTCCCCATAAGGTTCAGTATAAACAAGGTTAATCTGTTCTGTAACTATTTTCTTTTTTAATCAGAAAAATACGAAGCAAAGTGAGAAAGAACAACAAAGATCATGGCCATCTCCCCCTCCCCACCCCGAGCACAAGTGTGGCCATCTCCCCGC